CTGGTGGAATGGGCAGAGCTGGAGGAGAAAAGGCAGTGGGGACGGGCCTCTGAAAAACAGACATGCAGTCTCTTTGCTGGATTTTTGTGTACATCTCAGTCAGGATGGGTGGAGTTGCAGGCCTGGCTATTTGTACTCTAAAGAAGAGCCCGAACTTTAACCATGGAGTTGAGGCTGTTTCTGAATCACTTTTCAAGGGGATCTGGTAGCCAAAAATATTTTTTATTTATGGGCATGTCGGAAAGTTAGAATTGAGGGGAGAGGCCTTGGTTTACAGAGGAGAGGAAATCCAGGGGCCCAGACATCAAGCTGGCCACGTTTTCATTCACTGGCCCCATTTAACAGCTTCTCGCAACATATGCAGTTTACATTATGGTATCCGGCCCATGTAGGCTTTGGCTGAGACTATTCTCCTGAGTTCAGAATTTATGATCGTGCAAATAGACATCGAAGCGAAGCATTGGCATGCCAGAAAAACGAGAAAGGAAAGTCTGTTTCCTCAGGGCCATGTTAACTCTGTCTTCACCAATAGAAGAACAAAAGGGTCTTCTTTTCCCAAAGGGAGGTTGGGCAGGAAATGAATTCGCTGTGATTCTACTCTGGAGTTGGGGAAAGGCAGCCCCTTGCTCTTTGGCGTTTGCTTCCTTGGAGCAGGATGCGTAAGAAGGAAAGGGAGGCCACTGAGCCCCTTTTTGGCTCCAAGAAAATGAGGTCATTTGAACAGAAAAATAGCAGATTGGTCATTTAATAGCAGGACCCAAAAACTTTATAAATACTTCCTCATTAGGGCAACTCAGCAGTTTATGGCCAAGCTCAAAGCAGGGTCCCTTGAAGTCCAAGGGAGTTAAATTTGAGGAAAGCCTGTGAGCATTTTTGTCAGTTTCACCCATGAATGATGTTAACAAAATACATTTGGAGGGTTTATCTGGTCACTGTGTAATCACATTTAGTTAATGTGAAAGCAATTGTTGGGTAAGGAAACTTGGGCTATGGAAAAAGAAAAAAAAAAACATTGACTGGTATGATGATTTACTTAATTTTCTATATACTAAGTGCAAATTAGTAACTTATTTCATGTTCCTACTTCATTATTCCTCTCACACTGTTCTTGTGTGCCTACTTTTTACACTATCAATGCATTTTTATGCTAGAGTCTGAGGCAGCATCAACTATGATGTTTTTGTCCTTTTTTTTTTTTGCATTTCCACTATCAGAGAAAAGAAAAGAGACAATGGAAGAAAGCTAGCTTTGAATTGGTCATCTAACATTGGACAGACACTATGATAAGAGAACTTGATTATTTCTACTTTATAGATGACATCACTGAGGCACAAAATTAAGTAATTTCTCCAAGATCACAAAGCTAGAGAAAAGAGGAGCCTGATTTAAGACTGTGTTTTCCTTTCTTCCTCAGTCCTCATCTTATTCAAGTCCCTGTGGCTTTTATCCTCACCATTCCCACCCACTACATTGCTTCTGGGGCAATCACTGAAAACCTTGCTTGCCACGTTAGTAGCATTTTTGAACATTTTGCTTTATTTCACACTGTTGACCATTCACTCCTTTCTGAAAGACTTTTCTTCCTTAAGTTTGGTGGCTATGCTCTTTCTATAAAGTGTCGACCTCTTTGGCTTCATTTTATCTGATATCCTATATAATAAAGAGGTAATATGCAAAGTGACCACCACTCCAACACAAAGAGATG